AACCCTTAATGGACTTTTGCTGACATCAGGACTGAAATGATGAGGTTTTATGGATTTGTTTGTTGTATTTTAAGAGAAAGTTATAAGTTACTAAAATTGTTTATTCTTGTGATGAAAGGAGGAAGTAACTTTTTTATATATTTCTTTTTCTTTACTGTATTTTTATTTCTTTTCTATTTATGTTTTTCTGTTTTTTTAGTTTGTATTTTTATTGTTGAAAATTGTAATCCTTAATAAAATTACTATAAAAGAAGACATGAGTAGCAACAGTAGATATGTTCCCCCACCCCCACCCCCAAATGATAATCCCTTTAAAACTCTGCATGCTTAGGGCCTGGATGTCTCTGAAATCACTTTCTCCAAGTTGGGTATGCCTATCCAGTACCATCTGGGAGAGGAGCCTTGCTGAAGGCCCTCCCACCAAGGGAATTCCAAGATGAAATTCCCATGTTTAGGGAATTTGGGCTCATGATGCACCCCCTCCTTTGGAACTATCTGCTGGATATCTTCCGTATTACATTTTCTGAGAGCCATAAAAACATTGCTCTTTTAGGACCAGTAAGGTCATGCTACTCAATTGATGGCACATCAGGCTGAACCTGTGTACATAAGATCATTAGCCTAATGGCTGAGGGAGCTGTCAAATGAGTAACCTGCCTTCTAATTTAGATAACTACATGAATTTTGTAACACATTGGAGAGCTAATTTCAAGAATCCTGTCAAGCAAGTGACTACCAATCATAGACTATTTTAGTTATGAAAATAAGTATATGGTGCAGAATATGCTGTTGAGTTTCAGCAGTAGCCTTAGGATGTAGTCTGGAATGAAAGAAGCTAAGTGGCCAATTGAGAAAAGAACTGTGAAATGAAATACAGGGCAGATTCAGTCAAGGATTTCCAGAGACAGTGACAATATTAATCCAGTTCTTGGCCATCAGTGGAAGACTTGAAAAATTAGACAACCCCACTATTTTATTTTTTTGCCTTCATTCCCCTTCACCTGTGTATCTGAGACTTTGGAAATTTAATCTGTACAGCTGGGGGCTAGCATAATTCCACTAGCTGCCCATGAAAATTTGTGCCAGCATTTATACTCAATAATTTAGAGAGATCACAGGTTTTTATCTGAGCCAATGTGTTTCTGGACAAGCAAATAGGTCTTGCTAGAGCTTAAGTTTGAGCTTGTTTTACCTGGCCAGACAATAAGAGCCTTCAGAAACTGGGTTAGGACTTTCACAGCATTTCTGTCCCAGCCTGGGATGGCATAAAGCTAAGTACCATACCCAGACCAATGGATGACTTTCCCACCAGCTTCATATAGATTAAATAGCAACAGGGAGAGGCCTGAACCCTGTGGTTCTTATGCTGGAGTAATCACAGACCTGACTGCACCTTCTTAGTTATTACTGATTGTATCTGCCCACCAAGATAGAAAGGGAACTGCCATAAAACACTCTTTCTAACTGCCAATTGCTGCAGAAGAGTCCAGCAAAATACTATGACCAGTGATACCAAAAGTCACTAAGAGGGTCCCATTATTGGGCACATTTCCACCCTTTATACCCCAATGGTCATCCACTGGAACAACTAATACTGCTTTCATCCTAAACCTGGATTTGAATCCTGACTAATCAAGATAATCTGTTTCCTTTGGGAATTTCTGTGGCTGAAGCCTCATTATCTTCTCACTAACCTTCCTTAGTAATGGAACATTGAAGCCAGGGAAGTTAGCTTTCCAATGTGGCTGGATAGACAGAGATGGCATATTCTCTTCTATTGAGAGATGGCTTCTTCAAGAGAGGGTAGACCACTGCTGACTTGACTTAGATGATTTACTGATTTACTCTAAGGATTCTGCCATTCATGACAATTAACTTTAAGCAGTTCTTCAACGTGTTTGTGATAACAACTTCTTTGCTAAAACAGAAATGTGCCTTTAAATCTGCCTGTGTTACACCATTTATGCTATCGTAGTTTCTAAAAAGGAGTTTATATGGATCTAGCTAAGATAAATCTATTCTATCTGGATAGAGCAAGGAGAGGCTCCTTGCACTATCTAGGATATCCAGCATTTGCATGGCGGAATTGATTACTATATGTTCTTAATTATTCTATATATTCTTAATTATGTATACTATCCTCATTGTTAACTTGTCTTAGCAAGAGAGGAGTTCAGTAGTATTCTGATGCCCAACAAGCTTTTTTTCTCATCAGACATTAATTTTTCAGCTCATCCTCTGTCTTTCAGAAACCACTCATCCCTTTGTCATATAGACAGTAATTTCACATTTTACCTTAGGAGCTAAGCATCTGCAATCCACTCCAGAATCTGAGGACAGCCTCCTCCCCTGTATATTCCATTTCAGATGAACAGAACTATATTTTTAGCAAGATTAGCCAAGAAAGAAGCTTTTTAACATTGGAGCCATCTATTTGCAGGCCCCCCAAACCCTAAAGTGATTGGAACTGACCACAGGAATTTGGAACACTTGCAGGTTTCTCATGAACTTGCACAGCGCCAAGTGAGGTGGGCATATTTTTCCTTGTTTTAAGTTTTATGTTTTAAGATTTGTATCTCTTAGCTCACAAAACAAGCAAGCTGATGCTTTACCATATTAACCAGAATATTTCTTACCCTGTGACCCTCTTCCAACCCCATTCTGTACCTGG